GGGCTTGGACGAAATTACTTTTGTTTTCTCATTTTCACTTCTTTCAATTTAATGCATCATTACGTTGGATCCGCTATTTATATTTCTGCACACATCATTCGGGATAGAGTGGAACATCAGTCATTTAATGTTTCCATTTTTATGATGTTCTCTCTCTTTATACATTAGAACATGGTGTGACTCCTGATAAAACCATTTTGAGGATGAGTCGTTACCATCAGAAGCTGGATGAATGAAGACTAATCAAGAACGTGACCAGATTATAAATCACTCCAAAACATTGGGTTTTTAATATAAACTTCATTTAGGACCATTCTTTTTTTTTTTCATCATGTAAACTGGTGTTTAATTGTCATGAAAATAATGTAAAAAATAAAACATTTCCAGGGTATATTTCACTCCAAAATCAAAGTAAAGAAATTGATACTAATAAATATGTAAATAAATAAACTAAACATTCAGATAAGTATTAAATATAATAATAATTATTATTATTTTGGCATTAGTCACGATGGATTACAATTTGTGGTGAGAAATGTGTTTAATTATCGTGTCATTGTCATGTAAATAATGTCAAAATAAAGTATTTCCAGGTTATATTTCACTCCAAAATCAAAATAAGTAGATTTTAAAAATAAATGTTTATATTTGTTTTAAAATAAATTACAAATAAATTTTACAGACAAATACATTTTTAAATAAATATTTTGTGTTATAGTTAATTACTATGTCTAATTACTATGAAAACAATTTGTGGTTAAAATTGGTTTAATTGTCATGAAAATATTGTCGAAAAAAAAAGCATTGTTATATTTCACACCAAAGTGATTTAAAATAATAATAATAACAATAAATAATAAATAAATAAATAAATAAATATTTAATTAATTACAAATAAATTGTACATATAAATAAATAAAAATAATAATATTTTGTATTATAGTCACAATGTGTTATGATGACAATTTCACACAAAACTGATTTAAAATAATAATAATAAATAATAAATAAATATTTAATTAATTACAAATAAATTGTACATACAAATAAATAAAAATAATAATATTTTGTATTATAGTCACAATGTGTTATGATTACAATTTGTAGTTAAAATGTGTTTAATTGGGTTTTTTTTAATGAATGAATGAATGAAATAAAACGTACATACAGATACATGTCAAATATATCCGTTTTGTATTACAGTCATGATGCAATACTATGATGACAATTTGTGGTAAAAAATGTGAAATGAAAATAATGTCACAAAGCCAAAAATGTTAATGGTCCTAAAATAGATCTTTTAATTTCAGGGTGAAATATGACCTGGTGGACAGTAAGTGTAGATAAACCTCAGTCTAGCCTGAAGATACTAATGATTAAAGTGTGGCGTTTAGAGACTGTTCCCACAGCCCTGTCTGTCAGTCTCTGGCTCTCCTTCATCTTTGTGTGTAAAAGGCCCCCTAGACTCGCTCTTAAAGTGTGTTACACTGCGAACCCAGCTTTCTGTTCTGAGGACAGGTGCTGCGTCTCAAGGCCAGGGGGTTTTGCTAGACACTTGAATTCTTTTCATGGTACGACCAGCGTAAAAAAAAAATCCAGGGGGTGTGTGAACGGTTAAATATATAAATGCGGCTTTCTTTTCTGTGCCTCTGTCCTTTATAACGCCAAACAATTCCCTTCCTCTGAAAGGTCCTTCTCTGATCATATTGAGCCGGATTTATGACGCCAATTTGAATAAAACTATTAACCTTGATTAACGGAGGAGTGTTCCAGCGTGAGATCAGATCAGATGCTATAAAAAGACTTGGCTGGCATTGTGATGCATGACGTAGTTATCCGTCCTGTCACATGGAGGCAGCGGCGAGAACAATGCTTTCAGAAGCATTCACACGTTTTTCTCTTTCCCAGACGTAACCTTTCTCATTTTCTGCTCCTTATCTGTTCATTTCAGGTCCCATTAATTATCCCCACTGCATGACATAGATGAGTCTTCAATCTTTTTCACAGAGAGAATGAAACCGCTGAAACATGTCTATTTAACTGTCTTTTAAATCCCAAAAGCCTGGACTTGACTTGTCAATTGATATCCAGATCCAGATGATTTTTACTGCACATGCATGGTTACATGTTGTTAATTTTATATGTATCTTAATAGAAACACCTCAAGCTGTTCTTTTCATGTTGCACGAAACGCATCTGCTTTTATGTGAGTTTATTCTTTGTGTGCGTGCCATTTTACATCTGATGTCAAGACTGCAGGATAAAACTTTTATTTTTTGCTATTGTCGGTTTATTGATTTGATATTGATACCGATCCTATTTGTTTTAAAATGTAACCTTTTGATTTTATTGTGAATGAGTCTTCAGTGCACATTATTCACACAATTTTCACCATCTGACATGAATATCGATTAATATTTAGTATCACTAACTGATTATAGAAGTAAAATACGTTACAAATGTGCTATAGAAAGTATAAAAAAATAGGCTACTGTGTACATGCAAGCAGATGAGGCCAAAATATGAGCTGAATTGCACGATAAGTGTTTTCTCCCCCATAGAAAAGTGCGCTTAACTTGGCTTAATATAAAAAGCCCATTATTTATATATTAAAAATATACATTATATACAGGAAAGGAAAGCTACGTGCTAATCCATTAAGCCATGTTTTGTCTACGGGGGAGAAAACACGTGAAACTGCACTTTCCGTTCATATTCTGGGCTCATCTGCTTTTCTGTGCATATATTTTTTAATAAACAGATTTGGTCTTTTTAAATCACCATCTTCATCCATTAGCCTACCTTAAGCATTTCTATGGGGGAGAAGCTTAATGTGCAGTGCGTTGCATTCATTCTGCTTTAGTAATATTATTAATAAGGTTATTAATATTAATAATGTTTATAGTATAAACAGTAATTATAATCAAATTTGGTCCTCCAATGTCACTGTTTTAAAACATGAACCCACATTAAGTGTTTTAGAATGTCCCGAAACCGTGCCTTGAACCAAGCACTGACTGTATTTCTTAATACTTGAGTCCAAGTTAAAAATAAAACTCTATGAACCGCTTCATTGTGAACGTATGGAACTGTATGAACCACTGCTGTACACTGCAAGCTGGAAAGTAAACAGGTAGTGTTTGTCCGAACGCAACTGGTTTTGTGAAAGAACGCAAAAGTTTTGTGAGAGAATGCAAAATATTAGAAAAAATATTTTTCCCTCCCACCCCAATTTTTTCCACTACCATGTCCCTTAAGGGGCTCAATAGAAAATACTTGATGAAGTGGTCGACCAATATATTTAGAAAAAAAAAACAATGTTTTATGTATTGTTTTATACAGTATATATATATTTATAATATATTTTCACAATTTAACAAAAAAATAAATTCTATTTTTTATACATATATTTTTTAATTTAGATTGTTATGCAATATTTACACAATTTTATTAAATAATCTGTTCTAAATCGTTTTATATATAAATATTTAAATATAAAGTTAATTTAAATGAGTACTGTCAAACGATTAATCGCATCCAAAATAAGTTTTTGTTTACATAATATATGTGCGTACTGTGTATATTTATTATGTAAATATAAAGACACACACATGCATGTATATATTTTGAAAATATTTACATGTATGTATTTATATTCATATATATTATATCATATATAAATATATTTAATAAATAAACTGTAACATCATTCATAGGTCGGGAAGAAGGAGGCGGGAACCGGCGGACATTTAAACAATTTAATCAAATAAACAAACACAAAACGAAAGTAAAGCGGTAGCCCCTCGCGGACGACTGCCGCACACAAAACACAAAATAAAGTCCAGGCCTGGTCCTCTCTCGTCCAACACTGTCGTCACTCCTCCTTTTATCCTTCCGGAGCTCCTCCGTGGGACTCGAGACCGGTGAGTGGCGCAGGTGTCGCGCATTAGCATTTACTCCCGCCCCTCTCGTCACATAAACTTAACATATTTTTAATAAATATATACACATGCATGTGTGTGTATTTATATATACATAATAAATATGCACAGTACACACACATATATTATGTAAACAAAAACTTTTATTTTGAATGTGATTAATCGTTTGACAGCACTAATTTAAATAGTTATAAAAGAATGTTAAAAAAAGTGTAACTTTTTTTGTTACATTTGGTAAATATTGTATACATATAGAATTTAGAAAAAATTAGAGCACATTAAGTTAAATTGTATATATAAAACACAATTTAACTTAAAATGTGCTCAGATTTTTTTATAATTTAAATGTGCCCAATTATGTGTGTGTGTGTGTGTGTGTGTGTGTGTGTGTATACAGTCCTCTCTCGTCCAACACTGTCGTCACTCCTCCTTTTATCCTTCCGGAGCTCCTCCGTGGGACTCGAGACCGGTGAGTGGCGCAGGTGTCGCGCATTAGCATTTACTCCCGCCCCTCTCGTCACATAAACTTAACATATTTTTAATAAATATATACACATGCATGTGTGTGTATTTATATATACATAATAAATATGCACAGTACACACACATATATTATGTAAACAAAAACTTTTATTTTGAATGTGATTAATCGTTTGACAGCACTAATTTAAATAGTTATAAAAGAATGTTAAAAAAAGTGTAACTTTTTTTGTTACATTTGGTAAATATTGTATACATATAGAATTTAGAAAAAATTAGAGCACATTAAGTTAAATTGTATATATAAAACACAATTTAACTTAAAATGTGCTCAGATTTTTTTATAATTTAAATGTGCCCAATTATGTGTGTGTGTGTGTGTGTGTATATACAGTATATAGGCTATATGCATAATGATGAATATTTGAATAATCATGAATTATAATTTTTTTGATGTTTGAATGTTTGATCCATAAAAATATGGAACAATTTTATGATGCTTGTCTAGTAAAATTCCGAACACTGATTCCCTTGACGAATTTTAAAATCCTCAAATAATGTGTCTTTTTCTATATCTAGGTTCCATCTTCCCGACATACAGACCCTCGGACACCGTCTTCAAGATCACGTTTTGGCTGGGCTACTTCAACATGTGTGTGTGTGTGTGTGTGTGTGTGTGTGTGTATACAGTATATAGGCTATATGCATAATGATGAATATTTGAATAATCATGAATTATTATTTTTTTGATGTTTGAATGTTTGATCCATAAAAATATGGAACAATTTTATGATGCTTGTCTAGTAAAATTCCGAACACTGATTCCCTTGACGAATTTTAAAATCCTCAAATAATGTGTCTTTTTCTATATCTAGGTTCCATCTTCCCGACATACAGACCCTCGGACACCGTCTTCAAGATCACGTTTTGGCTGGGCTACTTCAACAGCTGTATCAACCCCATCATCTACCCCTGCTCCAGTCATGAGTTTAAGAAAGCCTTCCTGAGCGTGTTGGGCGCCCGCTGCCTCCGCAAGAGATCCACGCCGTCCCACGCGCTCTACCAGAGCCACAGTCCCCGGCACGGCCAGTCTCAGATCCTCGGCCTGACGAGCCGCGACAACCCATCCCGCCTGAGCCCGTCCTCCTCCATCGCTCTCTCCCGCAGCCCGTCCTCCCAGCACGGCCGGGAATGGCAGGCCCCTTCCCGGACGTCGTCGGCAGGGACGACTGGTGTCAGCGCCGGTGTGAGCGTGGGAGCCAAAGTGGCGGGAATGTGTGGTAAGAACCTGCTGAGGACGTGCTGCTGCGTGAGAAAAGATTCGCCACAGCCCGAGCTGCCCACGCACAACTCGCTTCCCGTCATCAAAATCCATCAGCTCTCGCTGTGTGAGGACGGGGACGCGGTGTGAATGAGCACGCTGGGGAAATCACTCCACTCACGCTGGCTGTGATGCCACTTTGCCACTTGACAGAGCCTCAGACTGGAGAACACAAACTGATGAAGAAAAGAGAGCTTTTGATTGAAACGATCAGCGATGGGAACATGGAAAGCTGCTGCGACACTGTTGATGCTTAATAAAAGCACGGTTCAACTTTGCATGAAAACTCTGTCTTTATTTACTCACTCTCGTGTCTTTCCAAACCTGTGGAATGACAGTCAGTGAACTGAAATGCAAATAAGATTTTGCAGCTTCGACAGAGGGAAGTGCATTAACTTTAACCCTGTAAAGCCTGAGATAGGAAATAATAGTAGGAAAAATCTTTTTTTTTTTTTAATGGAGCAGTCTGAACCTTAGCTCAGAATATAAAGTAGGTTTGCATTTGTGTTTTTTTGCTGGGTATCATATTTGATACATCAGGCATTTATGGCTGATAATATAAAGTATGATATAGGAGAATATGGAGCTCATACTTGAGGAGGAAGAACACCCCAATTTTATTCAGAGGCCCAAATAGAGCAACAATGTGACATTTGATGCAGACGCTGATATTTATATGCCAACAAGATGAAAAGTGTGTAATGTAAATCAGTGAGATTTTCATAACAGTATAACAGACTACTCACAAAAAAATTATATCAGTTATCACTCTATATCTCCCAATAATATGTCTTAGTAAGATGATATTTAATGCTTAGGTTTATGATCAAATCTCTGTAGTTTCAAAACCTATGCAACGCAATACAATGATGATTGAGAGATGAATAAAGAAACCTTCCTCAAAAGCCTGATGGCCATATTTGATACTCACATTTCAACATGATTTTTCTAAAAAAATAATAGACAATCAAGTAAACCTACTTCTGTCCATTAAGCGTTCCTCTTGAAATATTATTAACAATATAAAAGCTATTCTTTCATTTACTTTATAAAAATCAGTAAAGATTTCAAAACAAGAAGACGTGTGAAGCACAAGCTGAAGGTGGACGTTGGTACAATTACACTAAAAGGCATTCTACTTGCTAAAAAAAGTCTAAACTATCAATCAGATGACAGAAAGCATGGAGTGGATTGTGTTCAACAGGTTTTCAGCAGTTTTGATCATGTTTAGAGGCCTAAGAATTTAATGTATCAAATAAATGCCTGTAGGCTTTATAGGGTTAAACTCAGTTTGTTCCTCACACAGATATGTCATGTTCTTCAGAAGATGTTGAATATATAACGCACAATTGGTATGGACTATTGTATGCTGCTTTTATTGTATTAGCTTGAGCTTGACAAACACAGTTGCTATGACCTCTCGTTGTTTTATGTTTTTAGGTTTGGAATGACATGAGTGTGAACAAATAATGACGGAAATATAATTTTTGAGTGAACTATTTCTTTAAAAGGAGGATGTCCAGGACGTTTGCTTGGAAATTATGGTGGACATCATTCTGCATGGGTCTGTGATAATAAATACCAGCAATTTTTTTTTTTATCGACAGCAGTTTTAACATGTCTAATGAGTGTTTCTATATATAAAAAAGAAAAGAATATTATATTTTTGACTGTTGTTCTCCAGTTCATATCTTGTTTGTTCAATGCTCCGAAATTGCACTACAGTTAATGTTTGAGTATGATTCAAAAGCCCATTTCACCTGATGATTAATCGTGATGCAAAGAAACCGTATTGAACTGGGAATCAATCGTAATTGTATCTTTCTGATATTCCTGCATGGTCTTCTTATTTTCTGTGTAAAAAATGATTCCACATGAACGTCAGAAAGAGCTTTCCATGTGTTTCACCGTGGGAACAACCATCACCCTTCCCATAATTTGTGTTCTTTGGGAAATGCACAAATTTCCATGTGGTATTGATGCTTGACCATAACCATGAATATGTGAAGATGACCCCAAAATGACCAACTTATGTTGCTTAAATGCCTTATAACAAGTGGCATTTCTGTTATTGTGTTTGTTTCTCAAATGAAAGAAAATCATGTGATTCCAATATGGAAATATCCAATAAAACATACTGCATTATAAGCGTTTTGGGAATCGTTCTGATTGAGCTTCTGAAACGACCCACCATGAGAATGTTATCGTGGTTTCTATGGCATTCCAGCACTGGACACATTTCCCTAGTGACTGATGGGCTATTCACAGTTTAATGGAAATGTGTCATGCTGTATCGATCAAGTACAGTATGAGAAATGTAATAAGAAGTGTGTTAATTTTTAATATTTTGGCTTCTGCATGTGTGCCAGTTAAAGTAGATAAGGAATGAGATGATGGGGATGTTCCGGAAACATTCATCCCGTGAGACACTACAGTACGGCCTTTTTATGTCAAAACTACACGAGTTACAGTTATGACTATACTTTTGTCTTTTTTTTTTCTTTACAAAGATGACATTTTTTTTCTCTGAAGTCCACTTATAATTTTAATGGGAGTTTTCCAAGTTTATATGGATTTTTTTGAGACACCACAAACACCAACCATCTTCCCAAATGTGTAATGAGAATAGTTCATAAAATTGTTTTTAGCAAAAGTCTCGGTTTTATGCCAAAATAAAAGCTCTATGGTTCAATGTTTAAAAGCAAAGAAATTAAACTGCCCATAAATATTAATATTGTAATTTTCTATTGTTTTGTAAAATATTATTGTTAATAATAATAATATACTTTTTCATTTTTATTTATTTGTTTAATATTAATTGTATAATCTAAATGACAAAAACTGTATTTGAATAGAAATAATAATAATAATATTATTATTAAAAAATTTTTTACAGTATAACTGTAAATAGTAATAATAATTTCCCTTTTTTGTCTTTAGCTGATCACAAATACTGTTGCACCAAAACAGCTGTAATTTAATGTTTTATCACCCTATTTAAACCACATTTTTCACAAAGACAATCCCAGAATGCATTGCCCCAAAGGGGCAATATGAGTTTACTAAGAAATCCTGTGGTTGCTAGGGTCCTCTATTGCTAGGTGATTATTTAGTTAAAAGAGTCTGTCTGTAAGTCTCTTTGATGTTGCGGTCGATGGATATGTCCCTGCTGTTTTATTTTATTGTTAGCCTACTTTATTGCCTGAAAATCACAAGTAAGCCTAGAAATGTAATATACTTCTCAGCAATCCACACGATTTGAGGTGTCATTCATGTGTGCTGCACAAGCGATGGTCAAGGGATCGTTCAAACCCACAGCCCTGATTTTGAGCAACAGTAATCATGATGCTTGTCTTAGCAAACAGCACTAATATTCTACACTCTTAAAAATAAAGGTGCTTCATGATGCCATAGAATAACCTTTTTGTCTAAATGGTTCCATAAAGAACCTTTAACATCTGAAGAACCTTTCTGTTTCACAAAAGGTTCTTTGTGGGGAAAGAAGGTTCTTCAGATTATAAAAAGGTAAGAAAGAGATGGTTCTTTAAAGAACCTTTGACTGAATGGTTCTTTGTGGAACCAAAAATGGTTCTTCTATGGCATTGCTGTGAAGAACCTTTTAAGCAGCTTTGTTTTTAAGAGTGTAAACACATTGTGGTCAGTTGTGGCATCTCAGAATGGCTGTTTTTGATTTATGGCAGTGCTCAGAAAAAGCCTGTTTTACAGAAGCGTAAACTGAATCATCTGGGGAGGGTTATTTTTGCAGGAGTACTAGTTGCGACTAATCCAAAACCCTTCCCCTATATCTTCAACATCTTATTAGCACCGTTCACAGTGTTTCCGAGAGCATCTCGGATCACTTCACATTATGGAAGGAAGACAGGGCCAAAAGTCTTTAACTAGAATCTTGTGCATCTTGAAGTCTTTAACTTTAACTAGTGTCGAAACACACTGTTTGTCTGTGGCCGATAAAATTACTGTATTTAAGACGCATACTGTATGTGTACGATGGTACATTGGTATATAAGTATACAAGCAGCAAACGTCATGTTTAATTATGAATGATGTCATAATAATAGTACAATGGTATTCACATTTGCGAACGTCAAATGTTATTTTTGTTAATGAGGGATAACGCATCAGTACATTATGTATATTTTCCAGTCCTTTTAAGTTGTTTAGTTCAACGTTCTTTCTCAGGTAGGAAAGTCTTCATTTACATTGTAAAATAATTAGCACAGTAGATATCAGTAAAGTAATGCCATAATAAAATATAGAAAGGATTAATATGTGGGTAAATCTAGAGGTAAATGTGTATTACACGTTTGAACACGGTCAGAATGTGCGCGTGTTGACACGCTCAAATTCGTTGTCTTAATGAGATAAAATTGTGCGTCTTTACAGGTATACGAAACATGGTGAAAACTGACACCTAAACATGGCCAGAATGTGCATGTCTACACATACAAAAGAAACACATTCAAAATTGCCTCGTTAATGAGGACAAACAGTGCATGTTGACACGGTCAAATTTCACGTGCTCTGTTTAAAGACTTTTGGCCTCGTCCACCTTCCATATCGAGTGGCATCTCATACCATTGACGGCGCCTCGATGTCACTTATTCTCAAGCAGACATTTATTGTACAAGTGTCATATTCACTGTCTCCCTCTTTATCCCTGTGTTGCTATGTGGCACCAGGCCAACATTTTACTTCCAAATGTAAATTTAGTTTAGTGCAATCTAATATATTACAAAGGCACAGAAGGTCAAACGCAGCGGGACGCTACTAATAATACAATCACAATAAATCACTGTGGAACTTAGTATTAAATCTGAGAGCAGGTTTATCAGACTAAATGTTCAGCTAATGTTGACGTAATACCTCTCAACGTCTTAAAGGAATAGTTTGGACAAAAATGTATTATTGAGGACTTCATGGTATTCAAGGCCAAATTACTTTCTTGTCTTTGTGAAGATGTTTTTTGTAGAATTTCCAATCATTTCTTTGCAATTGATGAAAGTCGACAGCGACCAAAGGCTGTTAAAGTCAACAATAAATGCCATTTGAGACGTATTTCTGACATTTAG